TTATTATTATTATCATCATCATTTCTGCGAAAGTTTCAAATTCATTAATCGATAAAGACAAAGAGAAAAAGTTACTTATTTGTGGTAAGTAACGGACCACATCTTGAGTATTGTACAGACAAATGGTAAGTGTCACAATTAGGGGGAAATTGGGGCATCCTGTAAAGAAAAATTCTTCCAAACACATTTTAAATCTTCAAATGTTAATGGACGGCCCCTTGTCGGTATCGTGGTGTCCCTCAAACGGGACAGAGGTGATAAAAAGAAGTACTTGTATAGCGGAAATTCCCGCTCAACAGCAAGCTCTCTGCGCTTTACAATCTATATTATTATTATTTCACCAGCAGACCTGATACTAGCATTCAGAAACAATCTCAACTTCCTGGAAGCGCACAGTGCAAGTAGCCATTTATATTCGCTAAAACACTAGCACACTAAGAAGACTCTTCGTTTCTATGATTATCGTTCTGTTTCGAGCTTTATTAAGAAAGGAGCTGATTTTGTTGGGGTTGAAAGAAAGAAAAAGGCAGACAGATGTTATTGAGTACATTGTACATGTACGTTCAAATGTTGGGGTTTTATTGCTGCTTTAAGATACAATGTAGTTGTCCCCATCGACACACTGTTGATCACTTAGGATTTGGTCCTCAGACTCCGCACTCCAGAACGAGTGACCAGCACTTCTGTCTGCCTATGCTGACATAAAAAGTACTTGTAGGATTTTTTTTTCTCATTCAGGTTTCGTTTGGTATGGTATAGACGGAAAAACGCCCCCTTTTGAAAAGTAGATGTTTTACACTGAAATTAGCACGATATAGATCATGCAGGAGACGGACTTCACTTGTGTCTCTCCGGGTAAACCCAGTGTGAGAAGGATACAACATCCGTGAGGAAAGACAGACATTTTCGACACAAATTATCCAAACATGAGATTCGAAGTCAGGTCTTCTATGTGCGACGACAAAGCACCTGACCACTGCACCACAGACGCCGGTCTCAAAAGTTGTTTTGGGTTTGTTTGGTTTTTTTTGGTTTCTTTTTCTTTTATTTCTTCTTTTTGTTTTTGTTTTTTCCTAAAGGAAACAGCAGTTAAATGAACATAATATCTTCCATTATTGTTATTATTTCCCACAGTGACGCACGCGACATTTCGACCACCGGCAATCAAGTGTGTAGTTCCTGTGTATAGATCAGGGGGGCGTTGTGAGCAAAACACCATCTCACGCGTTCAGCACATAAACAGCACATAATTACAAGGGGATTACAGACATTTTCCTGCAGGCATGTCTACACGTTCTCAACCGCTCCTGCTTGTTCTTGTAGTCTTCTGTATCGGATGTGTGTATTTGTACGCGCTGATTCAGAACATGCTGTATGAACACGACGCCGCTAGCCTTCGATCTGGAGGGGTTTTATCTTACCCCATGTCCAACGACATCGCGGGAAATGATTCCGAGCTGGGATCACGACTTCAAGAGATCAGAAGAGAGACTTCGGGAAGTGAATTGGGGGCGGTTGATATACTCAGTCAATTTTCCAATCAAAGTGCCGATTCAGTTAACATGATTCAAGACTTTGATGCGTTGAGGGTGCGGGATTTAAAAAAGATATTGTTGCTCCAAGCGATCGACGAAGTGGAGGAGAGCGTGGCTAAAGATGCCGCGGTTGATTCGTCATTAGGTGCCGGGGTTAGCCCTCCGGGTCTTCAATCACGAAAGGAACTGGAAAAAGCAAATGAGGAGAGTGCCATTGAGGGAAGAAGTAGGCAAGAAAAAGTGTCTGGGATGGAACCTATTGTGTCATTCCATGTGTCAAGGGGAGACACGGAAGGTGAAAGACTGAGAAAGTCACCGTACATCTACAATGAGGAAATGGAAAGAAAAAGGTAAGATCGCTGGATGAGTTTTTGTAGAGAGTCTTGTTGAAGAGTGCTGTTTCCTGTGTGTCAGGGCAATCGATAGCCAAGTTAAAATCATGTTAGTGCGATGAACATGTATATCTGTGTTCATAACCCTAAGATAAGATAAGAATAGATAAGATAAGATACATCTTTATTGTCCTGATACTGGCACATTGGTTTGGTGTTTCAACACGTACACCCATTCACTCACACGCGGGCACACACACACACGCTCACACGCCTGCGCGCGCACACACATATACACACACACTCTTCCCTCACACATCCTCTCTTCCACTCACATCTGTGCACATAAACATAATAATATAATAGTATGTTGCACTCACAAACAGGTTCACAGTCACATGCATAATATAAATAAACAGTAATATAAGAAATAATAATGTTAAGCTAGATACATATTCAGTATTCTGTTGGTAACTCAATGGTATTCTGATGCTTGCTTAAAAGGTTGTGTGAATACTTATAACTAGATTATTAAGATGGAAGTAGTTTGATGGATGACGGTTATAATGACCTTCTGTATCTTTCTTTGTTACAGATCAGAAGCCTTGGTCTTTTACTTCTGACTGATATTCATATTTGATGGAACAATTTTTCTAGTGCAAGCTATAATGTAAATTTTATCGAAGAAGGGGAATGTAGATGTTGAAACTTTGCATGCTTCCCGTATTAATTGATTCGATTTTTTTTTATCTTGTTGTCTTGTGTTCCCGGCCTATGCTGTTATCCAGTTAGCCTGGGGATTCAAACCAGGCCCATCCGCCCTGTAGTCCAGCACAATAGCAACTAACGGTGCGCCCTGGTTAACATCGAAGGGTCAGGGTCATTCATTTCTAGTAGTGTATTATTATTATAATTATTATTATTA